GGTCTCCCCTGCCCCTGCTTCTCCTCCAGCGTGTGGGGGGCTGCAGGACGGGGCCGGTCACTGGGTGACCTGCTACCATGCCTACACCATGCTCCCGCCCCACGGCCGCCATCCCCAAGGGCTCACCGTGGTCCGTGGCAAAGCAGTCAATGGTGTCCATGTTCTCCCAGAGCGCCTCCACATCCTGGCGGGTGCCCAGCATCGGCCGCACGGCCGCTCGGCCCTCCCCGAGGCGCCCCAGGTCGTCCCGGCACAGGAAGAGGTGGTGCGGGGCCACCTCGCATGTCACTGGGATCCCCTTCTGCTTTGCTGCCTTGATAAGGAGGATCTGGGGGAACCGTGGGGAGGAGGGAGCCGCAGTGAGGGGTGGCCCCGAACAGTCCTGCGCCCCGTCGCTGGGGCCCAGAGTTCCCTGCTGCTCACCTCCTCCCTGCGGGCCACGTGGCAGATGTGCACGGGGCGCTGGTACAGCTGGGCCACCATGAGGACAGCGGCCACCGTCTGCCGCTCCGCGTGCGCCACAATGGGCAGGTGCCGTGGCCACTGCTCAAAGTGCTGGAGGGGGGACAGGGTCGGTGGGTGCCGGTGCCGGGAGCTGGGTCCGGCCCCACACCAGCCCCTGTCCGCCATGGCTCACCTCCATCCACAGCGACACGTCGTCCATCCGCAGGCTGGAGAAGGTGTCGTTCAGGTACATCTTGAGCCCGGCGGCCGCCCCGGCCAGGGAGCCCAGGGAGCCAGCGTTCTCCGAGGAAGCCCCCAGGAAGAGGGCGAAGTCGCAGCGGGCCCCGGCCTCGGCCAGCTGGGGGGACGAGAGGCAGTGGGTGCTGGGCTGGGGCCAGCCCCGCCGTGGGGGGCTGCAGCCAGCACCTCAGCACCTGGGGAGGGGACGCAGGCATCGGGCCAGGCAGCGGCAGCCCCTCACCTTCTGCGCCAGGGCGAAGGAGGCAGCGTCGGTGACAGCGGGGCTGGTGTTGGGCATGGCACACACCATGGTGACACCCCCGGCCAGGGCGGCTGCTGTGCCGGATGCAAAGTCCTCCTTGTGGGTGCCGCCTGGCTCACGGAGGTGGACGTGGACGTCGATCAGGCCTGGGGAGCGGAGCAGTGTCAGCACGGGCAGACCCCAGCCGTGGGGGAGGCAGGACACCCCGGCAGCGCAGGGAAACATCTCTTCTCCCTGCAGCACCCTTGGAGCCCCCAGCCCAGCTCCCAGTGCTGCCCCACCTCCGTGCTGGGCCCTCGGAGCACCCAGCCCCTGCCGTGGCCCAGGTCCCACCTACCTGGCAGGCGGATGAGCTTCTGGGACGTCATGCAGTCCACATGCATCTTCAGCGGGGGGGCTGCCCCAATCTGGCCCAGTGCCTGCGGAGATGGCAGCTGTGAGGCAGGACCCGTCTTGCACAGGCGTGTGGGGCCAGAGCTCAGCAACGGGGCCAGGAGGGGGACATCTCCCTGAGCCGCACCCCAAAAATGACCCTCCCACAGCAATGCCCGTGTACATCAGCCGTCCCACACCATCCACAACAGGACATTCCTACCCAGCCCCCCGCTTTGCTCCCTCCCCTGCATTCACATCCCTCGGGCCCTCGCGCGCCCCAGCCCACCTCCACAAAGAGCTTGGTGCACTTGATGTCGATGATGAGCGGCACAGAGTAGTCGACGGCCAGGCGCCGGGTGCGGTACCCCTTGGTGACGAAGGAGGAGAGCCGGCGGCCCCCCGAGTTGCGCATCGAGAGGTTGATGACCATCTCAAAGTGGTTCTCGGCCAAGTAGTCCAGGATGCTGCGCTGGGTCTCCCGGGCGCCAGCCTCACTGCCGTCTGCCTCCTCAAAGTGCCAGTCCACGGCCATCACCTGCCAGCAGTGACGCCCGTCAGGGCCCCGCACATCCCCTGAGGGAGCCCCCCGCCCCTGCCAGACCCCCAGCCCCAACCTTGATGCCATGCTCGGTGTAGAAGTCGGCGGTGCCAAGGCTGGCGTACAGCTTGTAGCCAAGGCTCTCCAGGGTCCGCACCGTGGGCAGCAGCTCGCTCTTGTTCTGCAACGACCCCAAGGCCAGTCAGAGGGTGGAGCGGGGGGCCCCGGCCCCCACCCCGGCCCCACGCACCTTGTAGCTGCCAATGGTCAGCAGGATGTTCTTCTTGGGGATCTTGAAGCCAGTGCTGAGCATGGCCTTCAGGTAAGCCTCGCAGCGGTTCTCCCCGAAGCAGGCCACCTCACCTGTGCTGGTCATCTCCACACCCAGCACCACATCAGCGCCCGCCAGGCGCGAGAAGGAGAACTGGGGCACCTGGGGGAAGGGGGGGCTCAGGGGCTGCCAGCCATGCGCCCCAGCCCGGCCACGCGCCCCAGCCCGGCCCCCATGGCCCCCGCTCACCTTGACGCCGACGATGCCCGTGCCCGTCATCAGCCCCACGGGCTCCACATCCTCACCCATGATCACCTGGCTGGCCAGAGCCACCAGGTCCACCCCCAGGGTCTTGGAGACGAAGGGAAAGGAGCGGGAGACGCGGACGTTGCACTCGATCACCTTCAGCTGGTCGTCCTGAGGGAGACGGGATGGCATGAGGCTCGTCTGGGGCTGCAGGGTGTCCTCCCACCAGCGCTGTGCCGGCCCGGCGCAGTCCCCCCAACTGGAGTACCTTGGCGATTAGCTGCAGGTTGAAGGGCCCAGTGACCTGCAGCTCCTGCCCGACAGCGTGGACGATGGCCTTGATGCGCTCCAGTGTCTTGGGGGTGATGTCCTGGGGGGGCGTCACCAGCGTGGCATCGCCTGAGTGCACCCCAGCATTCTCCACGTGCTCCGATATGGCGATGGCTACCACCACGCCATCGCAGGCCACCGCATCCACATCGATCTCCTGTGAGCAGGAACATGGTCACAGCCCAGCGCTGGGGAGGGGAACAGGGTTCTCACGGGGAGCAGGGGCGTCCTGGGGCTGGAGCAGCCTCCTGGACGGACCTTGGCCTCCTGGATGAACTTGGAGATGACAACGGGCTGCTCCTTGGACACGGCCACGGCATTGCTCAGGAACTTCTCCAGGTCGCTGTCCGAGTAGGCCACGTTCATGGCGGCGCCGCTCAGCACATAGGAGGGACGCACGACGCAGGGGTACCCCACCTTGCAGCAGAAGTGCTTGGCCGACTGCAAGAGAGCCAGCACCCTCAGGGGATGTGCCGAGGGCCAGCGCCCCCCTCGGGCAGCCCCATTGCCCTCACCGGCCCCCCACGCCCCCCACCTCCATGTCAGAGAGCTCCTTCCAGAGGGGCTGGCTGATGCCGATGGAGTCAAGCAGGCGGGAAAACTTGAAGCGGTTCTCAGCCGAGTCGATGGCCTCCGGGGAGGTACCCAGGATGCGGCACTGCTGCCGGTGCAGGGCCATGGCGATGTTGTTGGGCAGCTGCCCGCCCATGGACAGGATCACGCCCTCAGGGTTCTCCAGCTCATAGATGTCCATCACCACCTGCGGCACCACATGGGGCAGGGGGATGGCTGGGACAGGGGCCACGGGGGCCACGGCAGCCTTCACCCCGCCCGACTCACCTCAAAGGAGATCTCATCAAAGTAGAGGCGGTCGCACATGTCGTAGTCGGTGCTCACTGTCTCGGGGTTGTAGTTCACCATGATCGTCTTGAAGCCCATCTGCAGGGGGAGAGGGATGAGGTGAGGCCCCCTGGGGCGCCCTGCTCCTCCCCAGCCCCGTCCTCTGACCGAGGATGCCCGACCCACCGACCCCGCGGGGTGCTGGGGCTCAGCCAACCTTGCGGAGCTCCTGGATGCAGCCAACGGCACACCAGTCGAACTCGACACTGCTGCCAATGCGGTAAACGCCGGAGCCGATGACCATGACGTGGGGCTCACGGAAGGCCAGGTCATGCTCGGTGCCGTTGTAGGTCAGGTACAAGTAGTTGGTTTGGGCTGGCCACTCCGCTGCCACGGTGTCGATCTGCTTCACCACCGGCAGGATCTTCAGGTCGCGCCGCATCTTCCGCACGGCCAGCTCGGTGCTGCGAGGGGCAGGGTAAGCGCCGGGACAGGGGCTGGGGTGCAGAGTGGGACTTGCCCCCTCCCCGCATTACCTGAGCACAGCCAGGGCCACCTGCTTGTCGGAGAAGCCTAGCTCCTTGGCCCGCTTGAGCACAGCGGGTGGCATGGTGCTCTGCTCCTCACGGTACGACTCCAGCAGCACCGCGTGGTCCGTGATGTTCTTCATCTTGTGCAGGAACCAGCGGTCGATCTTGGTCAGCTCATATAGCCGCTCGATGGAGTAGCCGGCCCGCAGCGCAGCTGCCAGCACAAAGATCCGCTTGTCCGTTGGTGTTTCCAGCTCCTGCCGGGCCGGGGGGTGAGTGGGGCTGTGAGGGGGGCAGACAGTCGCCTCCCCCCGACTGCGCTGGCAGCCCAGACCCCTGCCCCAGACCCCCAGTGCGCACCATGTCCGAGACCGGCTTCACAGTATGGTCAAAGCCCACGCAGTTCTCGTCTACCATCCTCAGCGCCTTCTGGAAAGCCTCCTCGAAGTTCCTCCCGATGGCCATGACCTCCCCTGCGGACAGGGCCATGAGTGGCCAGACCCCGCACCCGCCGCGCTGCCCACCCGTGCTGCCCACCCGCCTGGTGCTCACCCACACTCTTCATGGAGCTGCCGATCTTGGTGCTGACACGCAGGAACTTGCTGAGGTCCCAGCGCGGGATCTTCACCACGCAGTAGTCCAGGCTGGGCTCAAAGTTGGCTGTGGTGGAGTTGGTGACGGAGTTCCTGAGGAGGGGACAGGGGTCAGCGCCGGGGCCGTCCTGCTGGGGGCGGGGGCGCAAGGCTGGCCAGGGCAGCACGCCATCCCATGCCACAGCAGTGCCATTTTACCTGAGGAGGGGCAGGGGGATGCCCAGGGCCAGCTTGGCAGCCACATAGGCCAGGGGGTAGCCAGTGGCCTTGCTGGCCAGTGCTGAGCTGCGGGAAAGCCGGGCGTTCACCTCGATGATGTAGTACTGCAGGCAGCAGGCGGGCAGGGTTAGTGGGGTGGCGCAGGATGCGGCCCCTGCGGCACAAGGCGGGGTGCCGGCAGCACAGCTCCCTGCTGCCCGGTGCTCGGCTGGCACCGAAGAGCCACTAGCGCAGGGAGGGCACAAACAGCACCAGGGACCAAACGCGAGGGCAGCCGGGCTGGGGGAGGGCAGCCACGGCCAATGGCTGTGGCGGGATGGAGCTGGGCAGAGGCTGCCCAAGGACTGCACATGCACACGGCGCTGGGACCAAAAGACCCAGCGCCTTGCTGCACTCGCGGGGGCCGGCTGAGTCGCTGACACGGTGAGACCCTCTGGCCCCAGGGACGCCAGGTGCCACGGCCAGGGGCCAGGGAGGCCAGTGAGGCACAGCCCCGCGGACAGTGCAGGGCAGGACCGGGAGCCGGGCTCCCCTAGGGCTGCCCGGGAGGGGGAACCGCAGCCAGGGCCCTCGGGGGGCCGCGCTCACCTGCTCCGACTCAGGGTTCAGGGCAAACTGGATGTTGCACTCGCCCACGATACCCAGGTGCTGCACCACCTTCACAGCCGTGCGCCGCAGCATGAAGTACTCGGTGTCGTTAAGGGTCTGGCTGGGCGCCACCACGATGGACTCGCCCGTGTGGATCCCCAGCGGGTCCAGGTTCTCCATGTTGCACACCTGGCAGCAGGGGGGTCACCATGGGCTGCTGAGGCCCTGACCCTCACGTGCTGCCCACACGTGCCCCTGGCTGCTGCCGCCCCAGGCAGGTCCCTCCTGGCTCCCACCGCCTCCTCCCCTGCCCTGTGGACCGGCGGGGGCTCCCCTGTGCAGCCAGGGCTTGAACAGGAGCCCCCGGGACACCCCATGCGCTGCAGCGCCCGCAGAGCGCAGCGGGTGTGGGAGGTCTGGCTCAAGGGGCGCAGCTCCCAGCAGCAGCCGGCGGCTGTGCTGGCACCACAGGAAGGGCTGGGGAGCCCTCCCTGGGGACGGGGTCCAGCGGGAGCCCCCGACCCCACGCCCCCCAGCACCCGCTCCTCCGTGAACTCCCCCCCAGCAGAGGCCTGGGGGGTCTCCCCCCATCCCGTACCGTGACACAGTTGTTGTAGGCGTCTCGCACCACCTCGTACTCGATCTCCTTCCAGCCCTTCAGGGACTTGTCCACCAGAACCTGGGAGGTGTGGGTGAAGGCCTGGCTCACCAATGCCACCAGTTCCTCCCGGGTGTTGGCAAAGCCAGAGCCCAGGCCCCCAAGGGCATAGGCGGAGCGCACCAGCACTGGGTACCCCAACCGCTCGGCTGCTGCCTGTGCCTGCGGAGAGCAACGGGGTCACGATGGGAGCAGGGAGGACAGCACCCTGCCCAGGAGCTGCCCCCACCCTGCCCCACGACCCCAGACCTGCTCCAGGGAGGCAGCAGCCTCGCTGGGTGCCACATGCTCCCCAATCTCCTCCATCTTCTCCACGAAGACCTTGCGATCCTCTGTCATCTCGATGGAGGCGACCGGCGTGCCAAGCACCCGCACGCGGTACCGCTCCAGCACGCCCGCCTTGGTGAGCTCCACGCCGCAGTTGAGGGCCGTCTGTCCCCCGAAGGTCAGCAGCACCCCGTCGGGGCGCTCATTCCGGATCACCTGGGGGGCACAGGATGGCGGGCAGGGACCCACGGCAGCCCTGCAGAACGCACCCTGCCCCCCAAGCACCCCTCTGCCACCCCCTAGCCCTCCGTGTACGAGCCCCTCCGCCACCCCACAGCCCCCCAGGCAGCCTTTTACCCTCCCGGCAGCCCCCATCCCTGCACCTCCCAGGCGGTGCCCTGGAGCGCTCACCTGGGTGACGTACTCAGGGGTGATGGGGAGGAAGTAGACCTTGTCCGCCAGCCCCTTGGATGTCTGCACCGTGGCGATGTTGGGGTTGATCAGCACCGTCTGGATGTTCTCCTCCTTCAGCGCTTTGATGGCCTTACAGGAAGCAGAAGGGTCGCAGCTCGTGGCCCCAGGCCTGCGTCCCCCGGTGATCCCCACCACCCCCCGTGCCCCCGGGGTGGGCACCCACCTGCGACCCCGAGTAGTCAAACTCGCCTGCCTGCCCAATGGAGAGGCCGCCGGAGCCCAGGATCAGCACCTTGCGGGGCCGGGCCGCATCCTGGCCCCCCGCCGGCGCCTTGTCATAGGTCAGCCAGTCCCGCAGGCGCTCCCGCACGGGAGGGGGACAGGTCACACTGGGGCCGGGGCCGCACAC